ACAATTCACTTAAAATAAAGGTCAAAGAAAACTTTGTATAAGAAGGAATATAAATACACACAAACACACACAAACACTGCATTCAGTGCTGGTCTATTTCAGATTAAAATAATGGGCAAAATTCAATATGGCTTTTGATTCAGAGAAGCCATCCACTAACGTAAGATGAGAGCTTCCTTTCATGTTAGGGATATCCCCACTGGATCAAAAGGCATTCTATGAGTGGGTCAGAAGCATCAGACTTAACCCAAGAAGCACACCCCAGAGCAAGATGTGCAGATAGATATCACACTGCTGGATTTGTGAAGGAAAATGTGGAAGTGCAGTGGGTCAGTTCCCTTTTCCTACCAAGTAGATTAGTCAATATATGCCACATATATACTTAGGTGTTCTGTATAAAGAAATTATTCCTCAATTTCTTTAGTACTTGACCCTGTGCACAGCTAAAGTTCATGCCCCCTTGTTCCTAGCATTTGACATAAACTCAAATAGTAGTTATCCCCATTATTCCCTAAAGAAGTTTTTCTTACACGTTGGCATCTTTTTCCTGACCACCACCACCTCCTCCTCCTCCTCCTCACTACCTAACACAGTGGTACATCGGGTTACATATGCTTCAGGTTACATACGCTTCAGGTTACAGACTCTGCTAACCCAGAAATAGTGCTTCAGGTTAAGAACTTTGCTTCAGGATAAGAACAGAAATCGTGCTCCGGCGGCGCGGTGGCAGCAGGAGGCCCCATTAGCTAAAGTGGTGCTTCAGGTTAAGAACAGCTTCAAGTTAAGAACAGACCTACCAACATACTGAATTGTAACATACAGATTGTAACATTTCCATATTCTATTCCCATTCCCAATACCACATTTTCTCCATGCATTCAGGGCAGAACTCTTTAGGAGTTGGCTGAGTTTCTCTATCCCTAGTTTGATTTAAACACAGATGACAAGCATACAGTGTTTCACCAGGCAAGAGCTTAATTTTTATAAGTAAAATTTTTCCTCACTTTTCAAAAGATGGCCTTTCTTCTGCCTTACCGATTTTTGCTTTTCTGTGTGCTTTGATTTCTACTGGAAAACCCCCCTGCCTCTTTTTTAAGTTCGCAAAGTAGAGCATTTTGGAGGAGGGCTTGGTGATAAAGGTGAAAGTGCTACATAGAGCCAGTGCCATGTGGGGCCAGAAGTACGGCAGAAGTAGAACAAGGAGACATGAAGCCTCTTATTCTCTGCAAAATATATGACCACCATCATTTCCATCATAGGTGTGTACTGTAGTTCAACCCTTGTGATCCCTGGTGGCAAAATATGCTAGCAGTGCACTTTACCTTGGGCCTCTGAAGTGGAGGAGATGCCTGGTTGCACTGCCTCCCTGTCCCAAGTTATATATATATTTTCCCCTGGGGGTGGGTGTATCTGATGGCACACATTGCAAAGCAGTCAGAGTCAAGGCTGTTACCCACTTGAACTAGGTCTATGCCCATCGGTTCTGTTTGCAGGAATTTTGGAACTGTTATTCACCCAGTATACACCTCCTTCAGATGTTTGCCTCACCCCAACTCCTACGTTGATGGGTATGTATTGAATTATTTGCTAAATTTAAACAAAATGTATTGTATTGGGGTGGCCCACAAGATTAAAATAAAATAAAATATAACATTAAAATACAAAATGCAATAATTAAAAGCACAGCAGCAAAACAATAAAATGCAGCTTCAAACATTTTTCTTTCTAGCTGAGCAAAAATAAATCCAATTAACAGCACTAATTATGCAATAAATCACTGTCAAACAATGAGATAGCATCATAGAATCATAGAGTTGAAAGGGATCACTACGGTCACCTAGTTCAACCCCCTGACACACAGGAATCTTTTTGCCCAATGTGGGGCTTGAATCCATGACCCTCAGATTTAGAGTCTCATGCTCTACCAACGGAGCTATCCCAGCTAAAAGGGTTGACATCTTCATCAGGTTACCCAAAAGGGGTCATTCCTGGTCAATTACTACCATTTTATACCACATGAGTATGTATATGAAATTAGGATTATTATTTTTTGCCCCAATGTGCATCACTTTTCACTTGCTTGCACTGAATTGTATTTGCCAGTTAATTGCCCATTCACCCAGTTTGGAAATTGTTTGGAGTGCCTTGCAATCTTTTTACAAAAATAATATTTTACCAATCTATGAAAAATTTGGTGGAGGTGGGGTCTAGTCAGAACCAAATCCTTTGTTGAACATTTCCCTAACAATCCTCTCAACTGTCCTGGGTCTGAGGGAAGTGGGGTATAAAACAGAAACAGAGTAGTTTTATCCTACTGTTTCCAAAACAGTGACGTTCTTTGGTCTTACAAATGTGTGATATTACAATGAGTTATCGGTGCAGTGCTGATTACAAAAAAAGAAGAGTACTAATATTACAATGAACTGTATTTGAGCAAAGAGGTGAGCTGCATCTTTTCATTTTAATCTGGTACAAGCTGCTGCCTTGCGTTTCTGAAATCAAAGATAAAGTTTATGGAACTTCACAGACTTGTTAGATGACCTAAGACCAAATACGTTACAGCATTTGTTCCCTTGCCGAACTCTTGCTTTTCTGTTAACTGATGTAGTCAAATATAAATGAAATGATTTTATCAATATCTTAGTGAATGTGCTGTTTCTCAGTCAGATTTATAAGATATAGTTTATTACATTACATTGCAGATTAAAAAGAAAATATGGCTGTTATTTTCCAAGTTATTAGTCTGAGGAAAGCAACTTTTAAAATATGCTTTTGGAGGGTACAGTATATTAAATCATTTCTGAGTTCTGATTCTAAGGTATGCATATCTTAGCTTTCTAAGAATAAGCAGAATTTTTTTCAAAGCAGCCCATCTATGAAGTTCCTAAGCACTGCTTGTACAAATATTCACACCCCAGCTGTGATAAAGTAGCATTTGGACAAATATCTCAGTTCTTTATTGCAGTAATAAATCTGATGGTGTTACCAGGTTTCCTTATACCATTTAATTTAGCTTTAATTCAGTGATCTAATGGGTTAGCAGCAAAACAGTGCCACTGCAGTAATGAGCAGGATAATACTTTTAATTTAAAAGCATTCCCTCTTTTACAATTTAAGATACAATTAGAACAGCAAATAAGATGTGATTTATTAAAAGTTACTAAATGGGAATGTTAGCCAGCTGGATTCAGAATGTACAAGGGAAGATGATGGATGAAACGAGAGATTCATAGTTCACCCAAGCAGCCAATCCATGCAACAGCTGGAGTGGCTGTTTTGTGTGAGGCTGTGCAGCGAAGCACAATTAACAATGGTCAGTAATTTGCACTTCTTAGCACAGGTGGGGTAAGGTAAAATATTAAATGAGTATGTGATCTGGGATCCAAATCCATACACCAGTTATACCAGTTATATTGAGATCATTGGCCTCCATTTTCCTACTTTGGAATAAGTAGATAGTGACCTCGGTCAAAGTCATATTCTAAAAACACTAGCAATCTAGACCTATTCAGGTCTATTCAGAAGTAAGGCCTACTGCATTCCACGTGACTTACTTCAAAGTAAGGGTTGATAAGACTTCAGATTGCAATCCTATACACACTTGGTAGGAAGCAAGTCCCATTCAACACAGAGGTACTTACTTTTCAATAAAAATTCAAAAGATCAGACTGCACAAATATCTTCGTTTACATGATCAGTGGAATGGTACTCACAAAGAAAGAACTCAAAAACACGTATTGTTAAAATTCAGTTTGCCAACATATATTAGCAAATTTTCAAAAAAATTCTGCCAGACGCAGAATCTTGAGCAAAGTAGCAGATACATAAAATAGCTGGGCATGGCCTGAAAGTTGCCACGTACAGGAATTTCAAACATTTACACGTTTGACTCAAAGCAATTTAAGATCTAAGACTTATATAACTGGGCTTATTTATTACCAAAGTGGTAACTTCTGCTCCCTGTTAACTATAATTTGGGGTGGGCAGAGTAACTCTAAGGCAATCTGGGACTGCAACAAAATACAACGCTGGTGCAACTCAAATGCGGTCACATTTTCCTCTGATCGGCCATAAAAAATATTAAAGTTGCATTATTATTACTACAGTGGTATCTTGGGTTACATACGCTTCAGGTTACAGACTCTGCTAACCCAGAAATAGTACCTTGGGTTAAGAACTTTGCTTCAGGATGAGAACAGAAATCGTGCTCTGGCGGCGTGGCGGCAGCGGGAGGCCCCATTAGCTAAAGTGGTGCTTCAGGTTAAGAACAGTTTCAGGTTAAGAACGGACCTCTGGAACGAATTAAGTACTTAACCCGAGCTACCACTGTATTATTAATCCTGTTTCACCATAATTTGTAGCTCAATTATCTTCTAGTGTCATTATAGTACACAGATTATTTTCTTGTCTCCAGTAGCATGCCCTCAAATGGAGGCAGACTACATATTACAGAGGAAGCTATGGGGAGCCCCTGAACATGGGGCAGCAGTCGTGTGTGTGTGTGTGTGTGTGTGTGTGTGTGTGTGTTATACAGAGAGAGAGAGAGAGAGAGAGAGAGAGAGAGAAACTCTGTTCATAACCAGACTGATTTTGAGTGTATGCAACTCACTATGCATATTTATTCAGAATTAAGTCCCACTGTGTTCAATGGAGCCTACTCCCAGGTAGGTGAGCTGCAGTGTATGAACAGTGTATATGAACTGCAGTGTATGAACATTTGTCTCCACCTGTTTCACTGCATCCACTTCTATCCACATAACAAAATAATCATGTCTATTAGCTTTCCAACCACCAGCGGAAAATGCACAATAGTGCTATTTCATCTTGGCCATAGGCTAAAAGTTCCAAGGAAATAGACCAAATTCAACAGCAGGTGGAAACAAAGACAACAGTAAATGGTTTAGGCAGCATAAGAGGCAGAGATGCATGCTTTGTTTTCCCCATATCCCAGTCAGGTTTGCAATCCTATTATATATTTATATATTTCTTGTTTTTTTTCTGAGATATAACTTTTACTAATGGTAAAGGTAAAGGACCCCTGGATGGTTGAGTCCAGTCAAAGACAACTATGGGGTGTGGCGCTCCTCTCTGCTTTCAGGCTGAGGGAGCCGACGTTTGTCCGCAGACAGCTTTCCGGGTCAAGTGGCCAGCATGACTAAAATCACTAACTCATTGCAATAAAATTTTCTCCATGTTTTGCATAAGTAAAGAGATGGGATAGGGAGAGAGAAAACAGATGGAGAATACTATAATGAATTGAAATGTTCTATTTAAAAACTGTTTGTCAGCTGTAGTTAAGTTGACACTGTCATCATGGCAACAAATCAAAACACTTCACACATTGTGCCGCATGTTTAAGTCAGCTACAAAGACAGGAGTGGTTGGAACTTAAGATTTGAAAAGTCAGTAAATGAAAAGGCTTAGAGTAGAGTAGACAAAGATGGCTTGGATCCAACCTTGCTGAACTACAAAATGAAAGGCACTTACACCCATCCTGGTTTCTGACACCCCCTCCAGATACAGATTCCCATGTCACATCCCATGCTACCGGTATGCCAAAGTTTCCCCTGATCTTTTTCAAGAGGAAATGGAAGATTTAGTGATCCAGTTATAAATGAAAAAGCCACTCTTTGTAGAAATTCTTAAATGTTTATTGAGGAATAGCATTGCCTGCATTGCAGCCAACTACAGGCACTGCTTTCACCTTCTAATCTATATATTTTATATTTTTGTATGAAATTATTAGTAACCTTTTTGAGCAGAGGATTCATTTCTCGTCTTTTTCTTAGCCCAAGAGAAAGACATAAGACTGCCATGCATAAGGATCAGACATAGGATGAAGAGTGATGACTTGATTTATTAAAGCTTTAAACAAGTTTCATGCATTAAAGATCCTCATAAAGAACATGACATGTTCTTTCTTTAAAAACAGCTACACGTTTCAGGACAAGTGACATGATCCAAATGATCTAGACTGACTTTGATGGCTATTCTAATGCAGTGCAGGGACGGCTTGAGTGACTCACTGTCTACATTACTGAGCTGAACAAAGAAGGAAAACATTTTTTAAAATTGTCTTTTCTCTTTCTCTTTTTTACGAGAATCGAGCAGAGACAAAATTTCTTTTTTGGACCCCATCTTGTTCCACTCAATTATGCTGGCATAAATGTAACCCTAACCAACCATGTGGAGTTTCTCTATAGTGCATCAAAACACAGCATTCCTTTTGAGCCAATACAGTAATGTTAGGGATTGAACATGTTTAATATCTTACCTCCTTTGCCCTCCATGCCAACAGTGATTATGATGCTTGTCTAACAGATTTCAGTTCTGAGACAAGTTTTTAACTCCATTTGTTGCCACCGTTTTTTGCACTGGGGTTGGGAACCTGTTTCCTATGAAGAGCTGTTTACCCACAGGAAAAGTCAGTCAGGGGATGCAGCCAATGATGTGTGGAGCCAGAACCCAAAGTGGGGTGGAATTGGCAGCACTGTATGATGGCATGTGCTCCATCCTTTATATACATATGTCTCAAGTGATTCTCAGAGGGGCTCAGAGCAAGAGTGGGCCTGCAGTACCTAGACAGCTGGATAATACTAAGGGCCAAAGGTAGAGTTGTAGGTTCTCCATCCCTGTTTTACATCATTCTGCAAAGGTCTCCTACAGCATGTTTGTTGTTGTTGTTTAGTCATGTCCGACTCTTCGTGACCCCATGGACCAGAGCACGCCAGGCACTCCTGTCTTCCACTGCCTCCCACAGTTTGGTCAAACTCATGCTGGTAGCTTCAACAACACTATCCAACCATCTCAACCAACCAACAGCATGTTTACTCAGAAGTAAATCCCAGTTAATGTAGCAGGGCTTCCAAGTAGGTAGGCATTGGGTTGCAGCCTAATGGTTGTATCCAACACTGCTGTTCCGCTCACTAAGCAATCTTCTGCAACATAACTCCTCCTCTTTCCCCTGCAGCCCACGCACAGTCTCAAAATCTGCTCCAGAGGGTTGGGTAAGGAGAAATAGAAGAAGTCTCTTTGTGCGAGTGGAACACTGCTCACACAGCACTGAGTCACACAACCCTTTGAGTAGAATTCAGCACTTCAGTTCCATCTTCACAAGCACTTCAGCGTGTCCTATGGAATAATCTCCCATCCCCATTCCCCTGCACACTGTTCTGGGCGTTATCCTGGCTCCCACAAGCCAATTTCAGAGGGCACTTCAGGGGCACAGGGAAGGAGAGGGAGGAAAGCCCCATTGCACAAGCTGAAGCCCTTGCGCAGGGCTTCTACTGATGGGGTTTGTAAGGTAAATCCCACCCTAGATATTATCTTCTTACCCTTGTGTTTTTTGGTGCATGTGCAGACAATGTCAACCCTCCTCCCCACTAGCATCCCAGATCAAGACATGCTATGTCAGTGTATTAGCCTGTGCTAACAATCAATATGAATAGCACAGGTGCTCTGGAGCTATATATACCTGAGCATCTGCAAATCTAGCCAGTAACAAACCACAGCCTATTGGAATGTTGCATTTCAGCTGGGAGATTAGTTTTAAGTGGCCTTGAACAAACCTATCTATAAAATATAACTAGATATTACCAACCTAACCCAATTATAAGGATGAACCGGATAAGAATTGGATGGCAATTTGTGCACTCAAAATGTCTTTCCGTATACTATATACATTTTGAGGAAGTGGGAGTTATTGGATCTATGTGGCTACACTCCAGAAAGCAGCATAACAATGACTCACAACTGCAATCCTGAAATAGCAGTTTGGCATGAACTGTCCTTTCACAAAGTGCCAGATCTTTGGTAGGGGGAAAAAAGGAAGTTAGTGGTTGGGGCCAAAAAATTAAATCTATCTAATACTGCAATGATATGGATATTGAGATTAAAGACACTGAGACACTACTTAGAGTAACAGGTGTCAGAAATGACGTATTGGGGCACGTAATTAAGGTGGAAGAAAGGTGGAAAAGCTCTGAAACAAACAAACAAACACCATTCCCAGGATCCCAGCCTGTATTATCTCCAGCCTTTGGATGCAGTTACATATATGCCATAAGTGAGATTCCTAGATTTTATGTCATAATGGTTTGTACATGTTTCTGTACCAACCCAGAAAATTTTAGCATGGTTTCGAAACCACAGCATTATAATCTATGTGGGCATGATGAGAACTAAGTTGAGGTACAAACTGTGTGGTAGGAGATGGGGTGGTGAAGTGATTTTTATATAATAACTTTTTTTAAAAGTTAGGGAAGTTGCTAAAATCATTCAGGCCGTACTTACTGTGATCTTTGGATGAAGGGCAGTATTCAAATTTAATAAATAATGATAACAATCAAGCCCCCTAATACACAAAAAGAAATAAACAAGACAACCAAATAACAAGCTAATTTCATAGAACTAATTGTGCACTATTGATATCCCTTTAGTTTATTCAGTATTAATGATTGATCAGCTATACGTGATATGGCTTTGTCGTTTTGCAACACTGTTCCTATCATTCACAGAAATGTCAATTTGGAAGAGACCAAAGTAAACAATCCTGTCCAATAGCTGCTACTCTACCACCTCCCTCTAATTAACCTACACCACTCAGACCAAGGATGCAGGTGTACTGCAGAAAGATGCTGACGCTACAAAATGACTGATACACAAAGGCCAAGCCACATTCTCTCCACATTTCCTTATGTATTTTAAACAGCTTATTTTCTCTCCAGACTGACAACGTACATTAGCTCCAAAGCTGCTTTATAGACATGGTGATGCTGGTTGTTTAAACATTTCCATATGATGTAGTATATTATTTCAAGTTCATACTACTAGTTCTATACACTGCCATGGAATCCATTGTATGAAGGGCAGTTCAGAACACAATCATTAAATAAAGTACCACGAATTGAAGAGTTTGATTTCTGAATTGTACAGTGATGAAACAAACAATATGGTTTGGTTCATTCATTCATTCTTATTTAGATTACGGTCCTATTCAAGTTGTATCCATGAACCAGCCCCTCCTCTAACCTACCCACTTTGAGGATTGATGTCTTAAAGGCAACTGTAACTATCTCCCAGTCCCCCATCCCCGCCACGATCAGAAACCTTATTGGGCAGGGCCTGCTGCCCCTTCATGGATACCATTTAATAATGCCTAAATAGAATTTATCTTAATTCCATCAAGCAGGGTTCTTAATTTGATTTTAAAAACAGAAATACTTTCCTGACTTCTTGTTGTTTACTGGACTCTCCTCCCATTTGAAAATAGATTTTGTGTCCAAAACACTGTGGGTAGAATTAATATTGGTGTGTTCAGACATGGAGCTTCAACAGGAATACCAACATGTATAGGGGCCATAGAGCTGCCCCCCCCCCAAGCATCCCTGCCCCATATTCAACTTTCTCACACTGAGCCAGAAAGAATGAAAAGTGGGTTTCTACATGTGTTCAGCTGAACTCTCTGCAATTGGAAACCTTGCACTACCAGGATGAGTGCGATACAGTATAGTGGTTAGAGTGTCGGACTATGACCTGGGAGAACAGACAGAGGTGGATTTAGAGGAGCATGACCGGTTCACCTGCAATGTACACCGAGCCACGAGGGTGCCGCAACAATGACAAACAACAGGGGCACCGAGATTTTAAAGCCCAAAGTCCGCCACTGGAACAGGGTTCAAATCCCCACTCAGCCAGTCACTGCCTTTCAGCCTAGCTGAACTCATGGGTTGTTGTGGAGATTAAATGAGGAGGGGGAGAACTATTAACACCACACTGAGCTCCTTGGAGAAAAGGTGAGATATAAATACAACAAATAAATAAATTGTGAGGAGCCTTCTAAGCTTATTCAGCTAAATGTGCTAAGAAAACCTCTTTCAGACCTTGCTTCAGTGTTGGAAGAACAGGGGCAGAATAGTGGGGACACTGCATATGTTAAGGCAGGCCAGAAGACACACTCCCTATTCATGTTGGCATCCCCTTTTGAGAAGAAATGTTTGCACGGGACTAGAGTGCACATCTCAGTGGCCATGATTCCCAGAACCCTTAGGCTTCAGTGGTGGGGAATATGCGGAAACAAATAAAGCAAATGCTCACACATTAAACTTGGAACTTTCAAGCCTTCCCCTTGAAGCCTATGAATTAAACTGTGTCATAAAGCACCAAGATTATAAACTCTGAAAGCTTTCAGTCATGTTTAAGAATATTGTGTTCGACAACCATTTTTCTTAAAATATATTTCATGCTTTTCATCCCAATATTATTCAAAATTAAATAGCCATAGAAAAAGTATTTTAAAAGTGTTAAAGAAGACCAAAATACAATAAATGTGTCAAATGGGGTGGGGGGTGGGGAGTGTCAAATGGCAATGGCACAACATTAAATGAACTTGGGTATGTACCCTGACAGACCAGAAGGTCTCTGGAGCTACATAACCCGTAATGTAATCCCCCACCCCTGCTTAGGTAGCATGAGTCTTAAGAAAACTGTGAATCTTATCATGCTTTAAATTTAGGAACTCATAATAAACCTTAAGAGTCAGGTCTTTGGGCCCTCAGGTGCTTCACTTAAAAAATGCATCCTTTATTTTCTGCCTCACTTGCACAAAGACTGCTTACTTGTCAAAACTGTGAACACTGACTCGGAAGAATAAACTTGGAGAAATAGTTCAGCGATGATCTAACTTTTCTCCAAAATGCTTTAAATAAAGAAGCCACTTGCAGCTGCCCTGTCATCAAAAAGGAACATCACTAAATTTTCTCTAATACAATTGATTGATACAAACATAATTTCTCCAATCCTGTAGTTAAGCCGTATCACAGGAAAGGGTTCCAAAATTATATGCTCCCTTTATCAAGCCCTACCCCCCTCCTTGGTCCTTCTCCTGATTGTCCTAACCATGACAAAGGATTATATCTGTACAAAACTTTACCGTGTTTAATCAGGGTTTTCAACTAGTTCCAAACCAGGTTACAATGGAAATCCTGATTAATATTCGTTGTGATTTAAAGAAGTAAAGATTGTGTCAAGGGAAGGATGGGGAAACTGGTGTAAGGGAGAGCAGACACTGAGGAAGGGGAGCACAATCCTAAAGCCCATACCCCAGTCTTTCAGCTATGGCTACAGATCATCAACTTATCTTTATGGGCCATCGAGTCCAAAGAAGGGAAACAATATGTTACAACAGTCAAAAGGAAGTACACGTGAAAAAAAGTCTTACTTTGTGTTATAATTATTTAAGGATAGGTAAGGTGGGAATATGGGGACAAAGCTCTTTTTTAAAAGCTATAAAAGGTATGTGCAAAAACAAAAGCTGTCTTTTCTTACCTCAGTGTGAAAACGGTTTACACTTCCAAATCCCAGTCAATTATTTGTAATGCACTGGTCACAGACTGATCTGTTTTTTTCATGAATGAGGGCATTTTTTTCTTAAGAGAAAATGATTATAGAACAGTGAAAAGAAAATTATGAATCATGCTTATCAATGAAGAGGGATAAACACGTATTGTATAGTTCTAGTATATCTGTTTAGATAAAAGATCCATGAAAAAAATTTAAGTACAGATACCATCACATTTTTAGGACTTGATACAGTCTTTATCTCTGTAGCACTATGAAAAATACTGCAAGTCCTCTGGTAAAGACAGTTTCTGTGATAGAGGAAACTGGCTTTGAATCTAGCCTGCTCTACATTTCAGAAAACTTTGGCACAGTAAAAGAGAAATATTTCATTCATATATTCAACTGTTTTAAGTTTGCGTATCTTCAGCGGTCATGAAGCACGTTTACACCTATGACGTGGGAAAATGTAATTACTTCAGTTGCTAGGTAGGAGGATGTAAACCAGAACCTTCAAGGTAACTTTCCCTGAAATGCTACAAGCTCCATATGGAAGGCTGATTAGACAGAAACAGTTGTATAGTCTCACTGCACAGATGAGACAGTAGCCTCAGGACTGTTAATTAATAGTACTACAGTGGTACCTCGGGTTACATACGCTTGAGGTTACATACGCTTCAGGTTACAGACTCTGCTAACCCAGAAATAGTGCTTCAGGTTAAGAACTTTGCTTCAGGGTGGAAACAGAAATCGTGCTCCGGCGGCGCAGCGGCAGCAGGAGGCCCCATTAGCTAAAGTGGTTAAGAACAGTTTCAGGTTAAGAACGGACCTCCGGAACAAATTAAGTACTTAACCCAGGGTACCACTGTAATTGGGGTTGTATTGTGAAAATGGTATAAGCATTACAACTGTGTCTTGGAAGTGTGAGTTACATTTCCAAAATTATTCTGTCAATTCCCTGAGATTAGATAGATAGATAGATAGATGATCGATAGATAGATAGATAGATAGATAGATAGATGATAGATAGATAGATGATAGATAGATAGATAGATAGATGATCGATAGATAGATAGATAGATAGATAGATAGATAGATAGATAGATGATAGAAGATAGAATCTAGTGTTTCTTGACTCGGTTTAGCTAGCAATGTCTTGTCAATCTCTCATTCAGGTGTAGAATGGAAGAGTTGAGCCACCCTGGGCTAACAGCCAACCTTGCCTGTGACTGACGCTCACTTAACTGCGCAACGAGTTGCTCTGCTGCAAGCAGGAACTTGACTACATAAGAACCAGTAGTGACAGCAAGGGTATAGGCTTGCATTCTAACATCACAGTTTCCAGCTTGTGTTCAGGCAAGTGGAACCAGGACTTTAACTGAATGTTAAAAGGTTTCAATCTTGTGCTTCATCCCAATTTACTTCCTGTATAAAACCAGGACATTTAGTAAAAGCAGCAGGACAGGTGGCATTGCCCGTTCTGGTGTAATTTCAAAGCAATTACAATCGTATTAATTATTATTATGCATATATTCTTGATAGTTAATTTACGGAAATAAGCCTGTAATCTGGCAACACCAATCACTGCTGTTTAAACAGAAACTCATGGGAACATAAATTTACAAGATTAATTAAATAATGTTTTCAACTATAAAAACTATATAGTTTTTAACAATTCCATTTGAGAAACATATTTCAGGGGCACTTGTCTATGTTTTTACCAAGCATAACTATCTCTATACGACAATGAAAAAGGGGAGCATGATGGGGAACTAAAAAAATAGTGTTCAGAATTCTGATGGACATATATGGAAAAGGTTATGCATTTGAATAACGTTCATGGAATACTTATAAACCAACCATAACACTGGTAGTAAGAGTAGGAGCAAAATCAAACCATTGCCTGTCTATCAAATTTTAATCTGGTTATCTCCCACTTGGACTGCTGCAATGCGCTCTTTGAGGGTAACTTGGAAACTACAACTAATCCAGAATGTAGTTGCCAGACCGGTGTCTGGGGACGGCTGCCAGGACCATATAACATGGATTCTAAAGGATCTACATTGACTCCCAGCATGTTTCTGAGAACAATTCAAAGCGTTGGTGCTGACTTTTAAGCCCTAAATGGCCTCCGCCCAGTATACCTGAAGGAGCGTCTCCACCCCCTTCATTTAGCCTGGACACTGAGGTCTAGCTACAAGGGCCTTCCAATGGTTCCCTCACTGTGAGAAGAGAAGTTACAGAAAAACAGGAAGAGGGTCTTCTCAGTAGTGGTATCCACCTTGTAGAATGTCCTCTCATACTCAGTGTTTCCAGTCTCAAGTAAAGTAGGAGGATCTGGTCACCCTGCCTGAATAGTATTGCAGTGAGTTTGGGAGACTCAATTGTTGAAGTACCCAGGCCAGATTCTTGGTGAGTTAATGGGCCCTAAGCACTGTTGTTAGTATAACAAAGGAAGTGGTTTTCTCCCAGAGAGCAAAGGGGTGGGGTCCCCTTCCTCATCTGGCTGGTAGTGAGAAGGACCATAGCCAGAGAGTTGAGTATGTGTGAGCTGGGCTAGAAACAGGCAGAGAGTCAGAGCCATGCTTGACTTCTGCTGGAATCCATGTCTGTGACTATGGGGGGGAGGGGGGAGCTTTGCACCTTGCCTGGCAGAGAAACCACGTGCCTTGAGCCCCTACTGGGCAACAGCCACCCGCCCGTGACTCCCGAGCCTCCCCCAAATAAAGGGGGAAGGGCGCAGGAGGTCGGGGAAGGCTTGGGAGTTATGGGCGGGCAGCGCGCCATTGTCCAGTTTTTTAAAAAAAAACCTCTGCGCATTTATGTTTTACAGGGTGCGAAAGAAGGGCTTTGCACCTTTTTACAATATGCATGTGTGCTTGGGCCCAGGGTCTTTTGCCTCACCATCCCCACTACTGACTCCCTGTTGATACTCGGCTTCAAAAAAAATAAAAAAAATATTGTCCCCGGATTCATTGAAAAAAATCTGGTAACCATAGGGTAGTTGTCCCTTTTGCTCCTTTTGTTGGAAAGAGCTGGATTCACATCTCTGAGCACCCAAAAAGTTCAACAGGTGACACCTGGCCTATCACAGACTGAGCCTCACCTGCCTCACAGGGCTGTTTTTATAATAAAGTGGGGTGCCCTACCCCCAAATACTCTGGCAGATAACTTCAGTATGGCTGCTCTGAAGAAGAAAAAGTCCTGGAACTATCCTCCACTATGTTTTCCCTCCATTACCCCACCAGATTTACATAATCTGCTGGGATGTTCTCCAGCACACAAACCAAGTAAATTTTAGAATTTGTGTTCTTGCATATTTCAATTGGATTTTCACAAATGTTCTCGGTGGACTGTGCCCCTCATGATAGAAATGTAATATAAAGCACACAAATGCTAAAATGACATGGAAGCAATTGAAACTGATATAAAAATATTAATAGGAATGAATGTCAAGAGAAGGGGTGTAACTGAAAGCGGTTCTATATCTAGCCTAATGTAACCTGTAAAGTTCCTAAAGACGAGGCTGTCAGTAATGGGTTATATCAGCCTTTTAAGAGTCAGGAAAATGTACAGGTACTTCTCAAGATCACTCGGAACTGGCACTGTCAACACTATCCCTGCACCACACACCTCTTCTTCCTTATGTATATTTTTCTTCTGTATCATATTGCTGAATGCTGGAGAATTAAAAATAACACATCAAGCCACTGTTAACACCCAGTCTCCCTCCCACAAGGCTAAGAACTCTGTTTTCTGACTATACTTTGTGCAAGCAAGTAGAACCGTCACATGCACTGCATGCTAAAGGCCGCAGCCTTTGTCTTCTCCAAGTTCTGTCTATTTCAGAGGCTAACATGCTGCAATTAGTCTAATTAATGTGAAACAATGAGCTGTGTTACCACTTATCAAATTGATTGTTCCCCTATCAAAACAAAACAGGCTGGCTTTTTGATGTAATTTCAAGAGATGATTTGAAATGTCATGTTGCTGCAAGCCAATTACCTTATGACTGGAGTCACGGTCAACAGAATACATAATTAGCAGGAGTTTGGGAAGGCTGCTTACTGCTCATATGCTAATTAACTGTCTTTTGTCATAAAACAAAAAGGTTGTAGCTAGGGTTGTGAAATAGGTCTTTTTTATTTACATTTCTTTGTGCTTATCAATGTGAGGCATGACAATGCAAAAGAATGGAAAATTTTAATTCCGCTACTTCAGAT